ATAGATCAGGTTAGGTTAGGTTACATTATGTTAGGCTAGGTTCTTACATACGTTAGGTTAGGTGAGGTTCAAGAGGTGGACTAGGGTATCTCTGATAGGTTAGGTTAGGACAAGACTGGACATTAATCCAAATGTTACAATGATGAACTGAATGCATTCCGCGCGCGAAACGCGCGTTTATCCGGGGCCGAAGGCCCCGTCTGCTTGGGGCCGGAGGCCCCGCTTACCCGGGTGGGGCGAGGCGGTGTGCGTGGCCCGTTAGGGCCACCCCCCGTCGCCACCCACTTTTCAGAGACCCCGCCCACTGCCCAAAGCCCCGCTCACCATCCCACCCTCAACTCCCAACACTTGAGCATGCACGCCCCCACCCACCATTGCGCATGCGCGCCCCCGCCACATCCCCACCACTCGCGCATGCATGCCTATACCCCAAGGAGAGCACTCCTCAACATTCAGTACGACAGTTCAAGTCATCGAATCAACACTCCAGTCTAGTCTAGTCCAGTCAATAACCAGAATTTTGAGTACGTTAACAATGTTATTTTTTTTATATCAACTAATTTTGTTTCATTTTACATTTTCAGAATGGCATCCAACACCCAGGAGTTGAACAATACGGTGGCATCCATCATGCCTGTCACAGAGCAGGAGAAGGCAGTCACTTCGAGAGTTAGGGCCCGATCTCTCAGCCCTGACTTATTCGAGAAGGAGGAAGTCAGGATTGTGAAGAAGGTTTGTCAACGACCTGCAGCAAGGATTGGTCGTATTGAGAAGTACCGAGTTACTTGCAATAAGACTAATCCTTATGCAGGTACTTGGTCGACCGCCCTCCACACCACCGGCAGCAGCAATAGTGGAAACACCGCCCGCACCAGCAGCAGTGGAAACACTGAGGGCGCCTTCTCCGGAGGTCATGATATTCAGCCCGTTGGTTGTGCCGCTAACACCGCTGCCAGCAACACCGGCGAATCCTGAAGTGTTGGTGCCACAAGTGCGACAGCCTATCGGGGAGGTTAGTGAAATGTTAAGCGGTTTCCTACAGAGATGTAAGGAAGCAGAACATGCTTCCCGATCAAGTGAGGCCGCGTTGGCTAGCTTTTCCCGCCGAAAGGCTGAAATTGCTAGCCAACGAAGTGATCTATTGAAACAATTGGCCGAACTTGATCGGGAGGAAACATCTCTGGAGGAAAGGTGTAAAGCAGAGACCTCTTCGATAGAGACTTATAAAAAGTTAGTGACTTTCTTAAAAAAATTATGTAGGTTGAGTGTAAGTGTAGTGAGATTAGTTTTAGGTTAGTTAGGAATATTTAATTATGGTAGTTCCAAGGTTATATTTGTAATGTTAGGAAACAAAAAATAAATTAAAAAAAAGTGAAATGCAGGGTGTACATTGTTTTGTTTTGGTACACGTTGAACAATGCGATGGTTGGAGCATTTTTCTTCACTTCGTTTTATTATTTTTTTATTACAATTCCAAGTTCTTCTAGACAAATACCTCACATGAATTTTTGTATTCTCTAATAACTTGTAAATAATCCCTTGAGAAGAAAATAAAAAAGGAAAGACATGTTTCATAATGAAATCAATAATTATATTCCATATTATTCATTTTTACATACAACATTGCATAACCCCTACCTACCCGCCACTACCACCCTCTCCACTTGAAGAGTATAAATGTAGGAGTTCCTCAATGTAATATTCAGTTGAGTAGCTATCGCCAGCATGTCAACAACTCAGGAAGCTGATTTCACGACCGGACCCCAGTTGGAACCTCTGTCAGAATCTAGAGCTCCTGACTACAGGAGTGACAACGACCAAGACGACGATTCGGACGTGAACATGGAAGTCGATTCCACTACAGAGCCACATAGAGGTCCTTCAACGTTTTGGAACATTGATTCCCGGATTCAAGTGCTTCATGTTACAAGCTCTGACGATAGGCAAAGGTCGGACACAGAGTATCCGGATCCTAATATGGATACTGATCAAGAAGCTGCTGCCCAGTGGTCGAGGCGGCTGGCTTTCATACGCAGAATTGAGAATGAACTCAATTCTGATGACGATATGTAATCGTTTCCTCGTTTCTCCCATCCTTTCCTTTCCTTCCACGAAGTACACACTTTTTGGTCGGTGTACACGAGGCACTGCGAGGTTGGGGCAGTGTCTCCCTCCGTCTCCCTTATTAGTTTTAAAAGACTTGTTTCACAATGAAACCAATAAGTATAATTTCATATGATTCATATTGTATCTTATCTCTTTCATTGAATATAGCTCATGTCATTTTGCAATTCATTCCCACTTAATCCCCTCTCCTCCCCACTCCTCCTCCACTTCATTTCAAAAGTATAAAAGTACGAATTATCTGTTGGAATATTCAGTTGATCAGCCACCTCAAACATGGAACCTGATTCAACTACTGAACCATTTAGTGTCCCAGAGCATCAGCCACCTTATTACGCCTCCATCCAAGTACATATCGTTCACTCCACGACGGCACCGCACGGCATTGGGTTTGAATACATGAATCATGATTATCGAATGCAGGTGCAGCATGTTACCGGCAGCGATGAAGGGCACCTTCCAAATGGTGGTTATACGGATCCTGACGGATGGTGGGATCCCGATTGGGATGACCCACTACCCGGAGACACAGATGATGACGATGACAGTGATGAAGATGATGACGGTGACAATGAGTCCGAGGAAAGTCCTCCACCATTTCCCATCCTGATTGATGAAGTCCTCAATTCTGATGACGATATTTAATCGTTTCCTAGTTTCTCCCATCCTTTCCTTTCCTTTCCTTCCACGGAGTACACACTTTTTGGTTGAAGTACACGAGACACTGCGAGGTTGGGACCAAAAGTCCCTTTCAGGCCCTCGCCACTTCTCCTACTGCCCATCGCACCCTGACCAAACCTCACAGGTTTGCCGTTACGACCTACAGCCTGGAGCAAGTGCAGTGACCTCAAAACTACCATTAGTGCTCGGCCTCTCCCCTGGTGGCTTCTGACTCTATCTCAGAGTCATTTTCATTATTTTCTTGGTCAGAGACATCCAACTTAACAGGAATATGGCACTCGGGCATCTTTCTTAAGTTTTCATCACTATATTCGAATGTTCCATTATTACTCAATGATTTTAGATTATAGCGATCGCCGTCAAGAACCTCAGTCACCATAAACGGACCTCGTAACTTCGGGTCTAACATTGTCTGATTTCTTTCCTCATTTTTAATCAATACAAAATCTCCAACATTAAATCGGACTACTTTAGCTTTATTTTTATCAAATCTAGATTTATCATACTCAGCGTTACGTTCAGTACTAACAATCGCATTCTGCCGTACGTCAGAGATATCAATTTTTTTATCAGCCTGATCAGTCATTATTCCAAAAGGCCTGGCTACTTTACCGATTAGTAATTCTAATGGACTAGCTTTAGTGACTCAATTAGTAGTGCAATTTATTGCTAGATGAATTTCATCTATTGCGGCTTGCCAAGAGATTCCACTCGTTTTGGCTGCCGTAAACATACTTTTAAGGGTGATCATTATTCTTTCTACCTGACCATTTGCTCGACTAGCTATTAAATGTAATTTTGAGCCTTGTAAGTTACAATATTCTTGAAATTCTTTACTCGTAAAACATCTACCCTGATCCGCTATTATACGCGTAGGTGGACCAAACAAAGATATAACCTATTTTAAGGCTCTAATACTATGAAGGGTGTCAATTTTGCGAGTATAATAAAATAAAACAAATTTTGTAAATGCATCTATCACAACAATAGCATATTCTTTTGAATCATTCTTCCCACTTAATTTACTTGTAATATCTAAATGAATCGTATGCCAGGAAATGTTAGTCTTGGGAATAGGATGCAACTCAGCCTGAACTTTACCTGAACTCGTTTTAGAAATTTTACTGGTGAAACAATTATATATTTCGTCATCAATTCAAACCAATAGTATTCACAAACTTTGTCGAGTGTCTTTTCCCATCCTAAATGCATAATGGATTCGTGTACGTGATTAATTACCGACCACCTAAAAGCGCGCGGAACAATCGGTAAACAATGAGTTTTACCTCGTCTTTGAATTTTTCGATACAGTAACTCAGATCGCAATTCATATGTTTTAGCAAGATCTGGCGCTAGCTCGTAATTTTCTAGCTCTGTTGTTATTTTGGAGATTTCAGAATCACGACGTTGTTCTGCGAGAAGCCAGTCACTCGAAATTTCAGTCAAATAATATGTTTCTCTAATATCTTATTCAAATTTTTATTTGATTCAATGCGACTATGATTTCGAGAAAAGAAATCGGCATGAGCCATGCGTTTCCCTTCTCTATAAATAATTTCAAAATTGAAAGTTTGTAAGAAAGCCCACCAACGATGAACTCTAGGTGTCAAGTCAGCTTTTTTTTTCGAGATGCTTTCAAAGAGTTAGAATCTGTTATTACCGTAAACGATCGACCATGTATATAATGACGAAAGAATTTAACTGCATTAAATACTGCTAACGTTTCTAACTCATAAGAATGATATTTTGATTCAGCTGGACTAGTCGCTTTACTGTAATATTCAATAACTCGATTCAAACCACTTAATTTTTGCATTAAGATTGCACCATAACCTTCGGAACTAGCATCCGTGTGTACTTCGATAGGGAGATTTGGATTAAAAATTATTAAGACTGACTCATTATTCAGCACTGAAATTATTATGGTAACGCGTGTTCAATCTTTTCAAACTAAAAGTAACTCAAACGAATGAAAACAAAAAAAAATAAGAAAAACCAAAACAAATCACTATACCTGTCGATGCTTAAGTATACGCGTACAAAGGGGATGCACGGCTTCAGTCGTAGAGTTTGGGGGTAGGTTTTATTATAAAAAAAAGGGCGCCACTGGCTCTCAAGCCAGAGGACTTGCAGATCTCGAGGAAACAACAAATAATTTTCGTGAAATGATCACCATTAAAATAATTGAGGGATGTATTGATTATATATGAATATATTGAAACTTAGCTTCTGAGTATATTGAATAATTTAATGATAAGAACAAAAATATCCCACAACACGTATCACGCTTGAAGAGCAAAAAAAAAGGTACGTAATTATTGTTCTCAACAACAACTTCCTCCCAGTAACATGTACATGCGCGTGGTTCACAACAAACTAATCATATGATTTCTCAATATTTGATGGGTAATAAACTCGTATATTGAAATCTACGAAATCAAAGTTCAAATGGAAATAACAAAAACGTATGTATCTAATCTTATCTGTTTTGGTTTGGGTTATTTGCTGGATATTGGTAGCCCTTTTCCCTATCCTTTATTCTGGATTTGCTGTCCTTCTGGCTCCCACGGTTCAGTGTTTGTATAATAAAAATTCTAGATTCAGATGGCTTGGAAAACCTATGACCCAATGCTAGAATTTTACACCAGAACCCAGAACCCTACAAATTTGAATGAAAAACAATTCGTGTATTTATTACTCAAGAATTGGAAATATAAAAAAAAACTACATTACCTCTTTTATGGAAGGAGGGTTCTCTCAAAATCAATGAATACCAGTAAATATATAGTTTTTGCTAGGGCCTTGAGCTTTGTTTTTGTTTAACTGAAATGAAATGGCAGTTGTTCGACACCGAATTTTCCATAAAAAAGCATTATTTCTTACCCAGATTTATTTTAGATCTTTAACTTTGGTGCAATTCAAATCCCATTTAGGGTAACAGTTTTTCACACTGATCAATACCATACGTAACGTGACACAACTGTTTAATATGAAAATTTACGTTGAAATCCCAAAAACTTGGTACGAATCAATAAATCGAATAAACGTAGATTTTCTAGCGACCAATAGACAAAGACTAATTCAATCGTGGGTGTTCTGTCGTTATTCCGTAAATATTCGTAGGAATCATGCGTATCGATCGGAGTATCGGGAGTCAATATATTTACGGGGGGATTCTGGATTTAATTGAAATAATGTTAATGTTGTCGCGGTATTTTAAACCGTGACATTATCTTTTGACGAACCTTTTCATGTATTTCGGTCCATTCAATATTTCTATTATTACCGGAGGTCAGTCGATACAAAGGTTTCATGACCTGTGAAAATTTAGGAATGAATTTACGGAAGTAGGACGAGAGACCGATAAACTGTCTCACTTGGGTTATGGTTTGGGGTGCAGGTAATGATGTTAGAGCTTCAATCTTCCGAGAGTTGGGTCGAACTTCGCTAGCTTTAATCTCGTAGCCTAGATAGTTTATTGAAGTTTTGAGAAATGAACATTTGGAAAAATATTAAAGAAAATCCGGTTTTGTTTAAAATGCTAGCAACTTCTCGAATTATTTCTAGCACTTCTTCGATAGTAGAGGCAATTATCATAATATCGTCCATGTAAACAATAACATACGTTTACGCGAGATTTCCGAGAGCCTTCATAACGGCACGTTTAAAAACAGAAATTGTCCATCAGGAGTAACGAACGCAGTACGTTCGATAGAATCCGAATAAACAGGGATTTGGTGAAACCCGCTAGCCATACCTAGGCATGTGGAATATTTTGCGTTACTCAATCGGGCTATTTGATCAGAAATAAGAGGTAATGGAAATTTATCATCGATAGTATTATCATTCAATTCACGGTAATCTACACACAAAGGATCAGAGCCATCTTTCTTTTTGACGAGTAATATAGGACTGGCAAACAGGGAACAACAAGGCGAATAACATACGGGTACTTGGAAACCCCTGAATAAACGAATTATTAAATTCTTTCAAAACAGAAATGAGTTTCACTTTATTATCTCCAGTCACATCAGTGTCAACATTATTTAAATCAATTTTACTATTAGTTTCAGCTTTATTGCACGCATACATTTGTTTACTCTTAAATATTTCGAGATTATCGGAAGTTATATTTACATTAAACCTTTGTCCAAGAATTCCACGACCAATCATTATGTCGTATTTTAAAAAATCATCTGGAGTAATATGAAAAAGAATCTAACATATGGCCATTAATGGTAACAACAGGTAAAATTTGTAGCGTACAATTTACATTAACATTTCCAATCCCCTTTGAAATTATAAAATTATTGTATCTTTTGCCCGCAAATCGGGTTGCCAAACACTCTTTTATTATTGAGCATTCCGCTCCTAAATCAAACCAAAATGAAAACGACTCACCACGGTGGACCAAGGAAAAAATCCTGAAGGTGATCCAGATCCCACTTCTGATGTCGAAGAATCATTTTCGGGGGTGCCAAGAGCATTGTCTCTGGATGAACCCATGTTTATTCTCTACCACAACAATAACTATCTTACAGAGGTATACAATATTTTGAAGAGATTGTTATTAGAAAATATAACCAGCACTTATCACGATAGACCCGTAAGTTCGATAACGAATCCATGGTCAGCAGGATAACAAACTTTCTCGTTCGAGGTTCAACTCGCACTCCCGGTACCTCACTTCATACCCTTCGGCATTCCTAGGTAAAAATTATCAAACATCCCAAACTGTCTACCTTATACTTTTCTTACCAATTAAAACTATATATCTATCCTGTGACCGTGGCTACGTTTAGTGTCCAGATGTCTCACCTCGGACCCAGGTATACCGCTATAAGCATGGCAAAACATAATCGGCTTGAGTCGTAAACAACTACTCTAAATTTTATTATTTAAATACTACTGCAATGAATGGCATCTTCCGCAATAACCCACTATTCATTATCGACTACTTCCACCAACCCGATGCAATGAAGCCTTTCGCTGTCGATATTGAAAAAGTATTTTAAACACGTGCGAAGTCGAATTTCCGGCATACACCAAAGTATATGCACTCATCCTTCACCATGCTGTTTTGTCTTCAAATTTCCCTAAAGGGTCGATTCATTGTGAATTATGATACTGATTATGATACTGAACCCTCAATAATCATATGTGATGGAATCGCCTGAAGATGCTATTGTGTAACGAAACACGTGTTGCGTTTTTGTAAAATTGTTTGGTGAAAATTCCACGATGAAGAGTTTCTTGAATGATATTTCTATCATTTTTTGATTTGATTTGTATTTGTTCCTAGATAAGTGGATTATGACTGTTGGAATTATGGACGTTTAAGTTTTCCCAGATGTACATACGGTTTCCCTTATTGACTTGTTTTATGAGTTTTATGTTCTCTGGTGGGGGAAAGTCATGTTTGTTTTGTTTGGCGTGTGTTATGAGGTTTGATTTATATGATTCAGCATGATTTCGTTAATGATATATGGAACATAATTCAAATATTCCAAACGTCATCATCCGAATCTTCAATCTCTCCCTCTCAAACAACTCCTGCGAGTTGTAACCTCATGGTTAATATTTCTCCCTAATATTCTGCGGTAGGTCAGAAAGGAAAACCCCCGAAATCTGCTTCGATCATCATGTTACAAAACTTATCTGAATTATTATTTTCGTACGAATATTAATGACACAGCACTACACGAAGCTCATACTTTTCGCTGAGCTGCAAAAGTTTCCGCATATCTTCAGCATGCATTCAAATAATAATTTGATGAATGTAGTGTGGTGCATCAAAACTCAGGTCTGCTAATTCTATAGCATATTCCAAATCTTCTGTTTCCGGCCACTGTTCGGCTGTATATTTCATACACATGTTCGAAAATACCCCAATTGTATTCATTAGTTTACAAATTATGTTGCAAAATAGCACTTGAAATTTCACCAGTGAGTGAGTTTTGGCACCGGGATATTCTTGAGAACTTTGATCCATATATGTTAAAACGGATTTTACTCTAGATGAATTCACTTCGCTAATCATTTTTTCTGTAAAATGGTCTTTGAAACGTTTTGGAAGCCATAATTTGAAAAAAGTATTACTTTTCTCATCCAATGAAACCACTTAAAACCACTATGTCGCGTGGACAGAATCGACATCTTTTCAATTCGATATACTTAATCAATAAGTCAAAGATATTATAGCTCTCCGTTCCATAGCCTCAGTTTGTTGAATTAGTGCAGAATTGTTTGCCCTCAATTACACTTTAGCATATTTTCTATTGATGTGTCAAATGCGAACAAACCAACATACACTTAAGATTGTGTTTGATGCTCACAGCAAAAATCACGGTGTGAATTTGATTGAAGAACTACTCACAGGTCCGGTGAAATTCTCGCGAAATTTTTAATGAGAAAATACGCGTTTACATCTGATATGAGAGGTATGATTTTGCAGGTTCGAGTTGAATCCGAAGAATTTTGTGCTCAACGTAGTAGATAGCGTGAAATCAACAAGAAAATGAAATCAATTAATTGTATACGAAATTGTGGTAGTATTTGTTGATTTGAAATTTAGCCCGTGTTTAGCTCAAGATGCAAAGAACTGAAATGCAACTGATAGCAAAATATATTCACAGAAGCTCGAAATATCATTATATTACTTGGGCGATTATTTGGGATCTGCGGACATCATATCCGAAGTTATAAAGCTCATCCAGGAAGTAATTTATGTCCATAAAGCAACCGGATAGCAAATAACCAAAACATTTTTCGGTGTATAAATAGAACACTTTTTGCCTCAGAAAATCCAAAAATAATGTAGGAACATTCATGGAAAGACTATTGGGTATATTTTGGAATTCGAACGATAACACTTTCACGTTTCAGACGAAATAAAAAAATACTTAGAAATATTACAATACACCAACAACGACCGACAAAAATAAATTTCCAAAGTGATAATGTCAATTTTTGACCGACCCTTTTGGATTTTCAGTAAATTTTTTGATAAAGGAGAAAAGTTTTATTGCAAAACATTCTGAGAAGTCAAAATGGCTGGGATGATGACATTTTGACTGTATTAATCATGCCAAGTTTGAAAAAAATTTCGAAGGAGTCTTGAAATTGCGATATCCACAGGCACATATTATCCAAACTTTCCTCATTGACTGTATAAGTATTCTGAATTCTTAGTACTTTGACACATGTTTCACTTGATTCTCATGATCATGAACCTCTTGTTCGATTGGCGAACTGTTCAAAGAATGGCGGGTTTTTTCTGGAGAAGATGGATTAAGAATACTCAACAAGTCTAATAAAAAAAACCTGAGTGGTACGAACTTAAAAAGATCATCAACAGAAGTAATTTAGTGATAGTGGCAGACCCCCACCGGAAGAGGTATTATCAATAATGTGTATCTAGTCACAGATAGAAAGATTAGGATTATTGACGTGAAGACCAGAAACGGTATAGATCTTCGAGTACCGGTTGCTATATTTATCATTTCAGACATTAAAGATGGTTCGTCATTTCCTATCGTGAAATCAAATTACTAGAAGAAAATGATATTGTTCAGTTTGATCAAAACCAGTTGTAGATAAATGAGATTGAAAGACTTCATAAGAATATGTGTGACTGATGACTTGTTGATTTTGTGGTAATTCATGATCACTTTAATGAAATGAATAAAAACACTTTTGTCTAATTACCACTAGTTGATTTTATTTATACGATCGGTTTCGGGTTTGACTTCATTATCAAGTATAAAACAGAGATGTGAAGTTTGAAAACTCGGTTATATCAGGAGTTTTCAGGTAAGATGTAAGAACAGGTATTTGATAGTCAGGTAGTTAGGCGAACCAGAATGCCAACTTTAAAATTAACCACTGAAAATTCTAGAGGTTGTTAAACTTATAAATTCAAGAAAGTAGACTTACATTAGACTTACATAAATCGAGTTGCTCATTTAGGGGTATATATTTCTGGTTTCTAATCGATTTTTTAATTTCCATGGCTTTCAACAAATTAATTTTCTTCCCTTTATTACATATGTGTAGGATTTTGAGATTATCTTTATTTATCTTGTGTTTTGATTCTTGAAGATATTCTTAACTTGTGAATTTTTTGTCCAAAA